CACTGCCAAATAGAGGCCAGTTTTTTTCCTGGTCTCCCCATCCTCTCTCCTGCATGTCATTGTTAAGACTTCCTCTTCCTCAAAAGAAATTTCTATTTAGAAAAGAAAAATCTCTATAGGACAGAGGCATACTAAAAGGAACTGGCCTTGAGACTCAACCAGGAAACTCAAATGTGCAAAGCTGTAAGCAGGAAAGAAAAGCCAGCCCACCTCTTCATAGTGATCAGGAGAGAAAAGAGAGCCCACTTCTTCACTGTAAACAAGAGAGGGAAGCCAATTGACCTCTTCAAGGTGGTAGACAGAGATAGAAACAAGGTCTAGAGTGAGCTAAAAGTAGAAGATTCCAGAGAGACATGACATCAGCTGTAGGAACCAGACTTCCCAAGTTACCCTAAGAGGTCTTTGCCCTCCCCAGAGGATCTGAAAAGAGGAATGAGGTTATGAGCACTGGCCTGCTACTGCTGCTGAAGAGGCCAAATGTGGTTGGGCTGTGACCCTCCAAAAATGATTCGATTCCCTCAGAACCCATATATATCATGGAAAGAAATGAGCTTACTACCCACCTTCATCCATCCTTCCATCCATCCATCCATCCATCCATCCCAGAGATACAATGGATGGTTCTCCCCCAGAGCATGAAAATACCCCTTCCATGTGCCAACGAGATTTTACAGCCTCATTGTCTTGGTATCCATTATATGGACGACTCAGTACTTGCATATTTCTCGAAGGATCTCCTTTCGAACCTACTAAAAATATTGGTCTCAGATCCTGAGGGCCTTGTCCTTACAGTTGCTAATAAGAAGATTCAGATCCTGCACCCCTTTAGCTTTCTGGGATATAAGATCACCACTGAGATCAAACCTCTCACCCCATCGTTCTTAATTAAGGGGTCATAGTCCCTTAACATGCTCCAAAAACTCTGTAGCTAACTTAAATTGGCTCTGGCCTTTCCTCTCCATTCCCCCTGCTGAGTTTCTGCCTCTCTTTGACCTATTGTGACATGCTTCTGATTCTTCCTTTAAGGTCTGGTTGGACTCTCATACAAAAATTGCTTCATAAAGTATCAAACTTTCTCTTCTCCCTCTCACTTGGGAGATGTGATCCGGGGACCCTGATCCTTAATATTATCCCTCTGGATGGGGAGGTTTCTTTGGCCGCTGTCTGACACAATGATCAGCCTCTTTATTGGATCCACCTTTCTTGGGTCACGTACCCATAAACTAGCCACAAAGACTGATCTCCTTATGCTAGCCGTCAAATCATGGAAGTATACTAACAAAATCTTTAACACAGAACCCTCCAAGATCATCCTTTCACTCCCTCTGTCAGAAATTCAGTTCCTGTTTTGAGATAGTTTGCTCTTTCATATCCTAATGTCAGGATAGCCCAATGACATTGATAATCATCTCTCAGCCCACAAACTTTCACAATCCCTTACCCTCCTGTCCCTAGAGAGAACCCCCTTTCCCAGACCTTCCAGATGCTCCATTCCCCGAGGCACCTTGGCATTCACTGATGTCAACAAATTCTTTTGGGGGTTGTCCTCAAGAGACCTAACCAGCCAGATTCAATTCACAAGTTCCCCAACCCACATCAGTCCAGTTAGGAGAACTTCTGGCTGTTCTCTGGAACTCTCCCATCAGGAGCTCCTTACTATCTTCTCTGACAGCAATTATGCTGTACAAATGATCAGGGTGCTGCCCCTGACCTGCCCTCGATCTTCCCCTCTTCCCATCAACAGCACGATCAGGGCCCTAAGAAACATGCTAGATAACAAACACTATTCATGGTTTATGGAGCACGTATGGTCCCACACGGGGCTTCCTGGTACCATAGTTGAGGGGAATGAATATGCAAGTGGACAAGCATATTGTCTCAGTGGCACTTTTCCCCATAGAACAAGCAAGGAGCCTACATCACAGATTCCACCTGTTCCCCTCCAGCCTACATGCTATTCCTTGAGCTGTTCCATGCCTGTAAAGCTTGCACCCCTCTGATGCTGTTCAGCCCTCTTCAACCACAGGATGTTAATCCAAGGAGATTCATGCCCAACTCTGTTTGGCAAATGGATGTTACCCATATCCCAAGCTTTGGTAACCTTAAATATGTCCATGTCATCATTGACACTTATTCCAAATTTGTCTATGCACAGGCTCTCTCACGGAAAAGTCTGCCCATGCCATTAAGGCCACTGAAACTGCTATGTTGGTTATGGGGGTGTCATGGGAGATTAAGACTCACAACAGCCCAGCTTACAGCTCTGCTAAATTCAACTTATTCATGAATTCTTGGGGCATTAAACACTCTACTGGCATCCCCTATAATCCATAGGGTCAAGCCATAGTGGAGAGAGCTAAGGTTCTACTTCAAAGAATTGAGCCTCAAACAAAGATCTGTTATGACACCCTAGGACCCCCATTTGACACTGGGAGAGGCACTTTCTACAATCAATTTCCTCACCTTCCTACAACCAGGGCCTCCCCCACATACAAACATTGGAGGTCCCATCCTGTCATGACCTCCCTTCCCCTGGTCCACTGGCGGGACCTTCTCACCAGTGCCTGGCAGGGACCACATCCTCTTCTTTCCCAGGGCTGAGGGGTTGCTTGTGTCTTTCCAGAGACCTCACGAACACCCATCTAAATTCCAGCCCACAATGTGTGTCCAGTGACCGATGGTGGTGACGAGCCCTTCTGTAAGGAGAGGAACACCCCCTGAAGGAATCATAAGAAGGATGACAATGGTCCAGACCAATCAAGTTCTCCTCCACCGGGCTGCAGTTTCAGCACCAATCTTGGGATGTTACATATGACATCCTCTCTGCCCTCTCCCACCCACATTTGGTTCCCTCCATACCACCTCTCCTCCAGTCAATTAGAGGACTGCCAATTATCCAACTACCTGACTGCCATCACTACGGGTCTAACTAATAAGGGTCTGCCCTTAAAAAAACCTCTTATGTGGCAGAGTGACCCTCGGGGAGTACTCACCAAGAAGACAGGTAGCCAATGACGGGGAAGACCCCAGGAGTTGGGGCAACCTAAGACAGGCACTGTTACTTGAGGTGAGCCCCCAAGGCTTGGGGCCAATAATGGTGGGGAAAAGGATCCCGTCTCCCAAGGTCACAATTAATAAAATAAAATGAAGATATGTGGGCATTCCTGGCAAGAGATCATTGGGGTTCATGGCCTGGAGCGACTTCTGCTGATGTGACTGCAGAAGCATGAGGGGAGCATGAGTGGCCTGATGTTGTGGGAGCCTTCCCAGAGACCAACAACCAATGGCAGGCTCAGAGAGGGTGTGGAGGAACCTGACTGGTTGCCCAAAGCTATATAATGTGCTCTTCTGGGAATGAACCAGTCTGCATCTGCTCACCCTCAGATTGCATTCACCCGACTCCTGCTGTCTGTGTAGTAACTCCAGTGCCTCTCACTCCCTCAGCCTGGACCCCCTGTCTTCACTCACCAGATGGACCCTGGAAAGGAGGACCAACTATTAGAGAAAATAGCACCACACCCTCCAACAGCTGTCAACATATTTTAGTTCTTGGGGAAGGGACAGACGTCATGGGCACCTCCTCTATCTATGGTGGAAACTTGAAGGGTCCAGTGTTTTGCAGGTATCCATTACTGCTGTGTCATGTTTGCAACAGCTATGACATCTAGATAGAAGGGCTTCACAACACCCCCCCCATCCTCTGGCTCTTAGATTATTTCCATCCTCTCATGTATGATATTCTGAAGGCCTTAGAGGAGAGAGGATGATATGGGTGTCTGATTTGAAGCTGATCACACTTCAGCTAGTTATTCTAAGCACTTTGATCAGATACAAGCCTTTGCATTAACCATCACCCTCTGCAAAAAAGGAGTGTCTCTACAATCTACTGAAATCTCTAGGAGTTAAGGGTTGCTGTAAACCCTGACATGAGCACCATGAACTAGGCAGCCATGCTTCCGATAGCCCTAGAACTTTTTGGATTTTTATCTTATGTCTCTACATATTGACATGAGCTGTCAATTTGACCTCGGTCCTTTGTGGGCATGAAAGGGTCATCAATCCGTATTTACTAGCAGACTGATTGACTTCCTCTCAGACTCTGTTCCTAGTTACACCACTAATTAGCTGGTGTCTTTATGTTTGTCAATTACTTTTTCTGATTCTCAGTTCCATTAAAATGACTCATGATCTGTGTTTAATTTTGTTTGCTTTCATTTTGTATCTTACTTTTTTGAAACAAAGACTCATGTAGCCCAGACTGTCCTCAAACTTACTGTATAACTGAGGATGACCTTGAACTTTTATCCTCCTGACTTCAACTCTCAAGTTCTAAGGTCATATAACCACACCTGGATATAATTAATAATCTTTTTTTTAATAACAAAATTTTATTGTAAAATAAGAAACTGGTATATAAAAAGGGGTATAAAAAGGGAAGGGTAGGGAATGGATAAAATGTGGACAGGCTTTGCAGAGTTGGAAGAAACTGACCCTGAGCCCAGGGTGGAAAGAAAATGGGTCTCGGAGGATATGGACCCTATGAGAGCCGAAGATAGCATCTTACAGGGTGTGGGATGGGGTGAGATTTCATCTTAGGTGCCAGCAAGCGGCTGGAGAGGATTTCGCTGGCCCAGCAAAGACCTGGCAACTACTGACCATTTCCCAACCGGGGCCGTGAACCAGCACTCCCGGAGGGGCTGAGCCCTAGCTACAGGGTAGTAAAAGGCAGTGGAAGGGACACACATTCGTTCCTCCTCTCTCACAAGCCCTGAGAAGTAGGAAGGCTGGTGTGCACTTCACAGCTGTGCCTGTTCAAGTCGGGAGAAAGTAAACTCGGTCACCACTGCGTATGGCCAATTGTAAACTCCATCCCCACCTACGAGAATCTTCCACTCTTCAAGCCTCTCCTCAAAGCCACAGTCTTAAAAGCTAGGTGCTCCCACCACCCTCCCCAGATCAACCCAAGCGGGGGGTCCAAGGACCCAAGTCATAAAATGGCAGGGAAGGAGGTGTGGGGAGGGAGGCAGAGGGGGGTCAGGAAGTAGAGGGGTCAGTCTGAGTCAGGCTCCTCTCTCTTGATCATCGGATTCTTCCGAGGGGAGGTAGACTTGTATTTCTTGGTCTTCAGACAGCTGTAGGAAAACAGAAGGGGGCGGGTGATGTGGTAGAACTAGCAATTTGGGCTTTTCTCCTCAGCAAGCTTTAGGATAGAGGCCTGGCCTGCTCCCTGCCATCTCCCGACTCCCCTGCAGCCTGTGCATCCTTCAGTTCCAAGGCTTCATTCAGCTCCCGGAAGACCTCGAAGCGTTTCCCGGATCTTGAGGGTGAAATATTCTCTGTCAGCTGGTTTCCTCTTTGACTGGGGAGAGGAGCTGGTGTTGGTGGGCAGGGCTCGCTTAGCACTCCCTTGCGGCAGCTCTGGGCAACGTTGTTTTTTGCGTAAATTTTCTTCCTCTGTGCGGTGGTCTCTCCCAGGACACGCGCAAACGCGGACCTCAAAGCTGTTCCGGCCCAGCAGGTTGCCACTGGGGTCTTCCAGCGTGATGATGGTGAGGATGGGCCGGCGGTTCATGCCGCCCATGCAGGAGCTATTACACATGTAGTTGTAGTGGATTGTGGTGCAGTCAGAGCCAACCTCGGGCGACTCATAGGGCACCAGCACGCTGTGGCGGAACGTCTGCCTGTGGTCCACGTACTCGGCATGCAGGTTCCCTTCCACGCGGATCAGATGCTGGGGAGGGGCCCTTCCACACGGATCGGACGCTTCGTTTTCCGAGCAGTGCTCATGGTGTGGGCAGCGTCGCACAACCTCTGTCATGTGCTGTGAGTTCTTGTAGATGGCCATGGCCCGGACGCGGGTGCCAGGGGGCGGGGCGGAGCTGACCCACAGCTGCACGGGGCATGTCTTCGCCAGCTGGCAGAACAGCTTATTGAGGGAAGGGGAGTACGTGCACGTGACAGACTTGGCTGTCCCAGATTGCAGGAAGCCCAGACGGAAGCCATAGTTGCCCTGGAAGGTTTTATGGGAAGGGACGAAGGATGACAGGGGCCAGGAAGCGGGTGGTGCAGGGGCCGCTGGTGCGGGGGGCCTCAGGCGCAGGGCCCTCCGCCGGAGCTGCGCACACTGGGAGGGCCTCGTCCGCATCTCCCAACCAGTTTGTCACGTCCTGGGGCAGCAGTAGATCCTCCATAGGCTCCAAGGTGGACAGAAGGTTCTTTAGAGGAAGCAGTTTCCACAGGTCTGAAAATGTCTCCTGACTCAGAAGGGGCTCAATGCTGAGATCCGACTGTGGCTCTTCCATGGCAGTATCCAAAAAGCCAGCCAGGCCGGTCAGCTGACACCTTGTAGCCCTGGCCGCCCCTGCTCCATCTCTGTCCTCACGGCCATAATTAATAATCTTAATTGTTCTTTCCAGCTTTAAATTACTATGAAGTTTCTTTTCCTACCATGTTTTTGAAACTATCCATTGAAGTCCTGCTGCCTTTGACTTGATCGATACCCCAATCTTCCATGCACATGGAGTGCAAATAAAGACAGTATAAGAAAAAGTGAATATTAGAAGCTTTGCAGAGAGAATCAAGAAGGGAGAAAGGCCAGGCAATGATGGCTCAATTCCCCAGCCAAACAACGCATCTAAATGGGCTGATGATAGCCTTTGATTGTCCACGTCAAAATTAATAGACTTTAAAGAGACTTCAGAAATATGTTCTCTTGAGTTGTCCAAGAAAATCCATGCATGGGGAAGCAGAAATCTAGAAAGTCAATAGAAGTTACTGTCATTGTTTCTATTTTCTTTCTCCTGTTTTTTGTTGTTGTTGTTTTGTTTTGTTTTGTTTTTGTTTTTGTTTTTAATAAGGATCCAAGAGGGGATCGTTAAACGGGTCTGATGGCATCGTTTATCATTAAGAGGCCATCTTGGTCCTCTGTCCTCTGCCTTCCTTTCAGTCTCTTCTTTCCCCTAACTGTGGTTTATGATGGGAAAACGCAGTGTCCAGATCACAAGGACGCCCAAGGAAGGGCTCTTGGTGGCATAGTGAATAGGTTAGCCCAATTCTCTGTTATGTGACATAGGAACAGAGGATGGGACCAAGTGAGACACTGCTGGCAGTCTGAAGAAGCTCTCCCCAGTATATGAACACGCACACAAATAATACAGATTATATTAGGTACAAAAGAACTGCCTAAACTGGATCAGTGTGGGTAGGGCTTCTTCATTCAGTAGCTTGGACAGCTACCTTCCACAGTGTTGTGCAGACATTCTCCTTCCCTCCTTGCCCAGTCCCTGGGAAGTTAAACATGTCCCTAAATGGCATTGCACAAAAACACTTCTAAACTTAGGCTTCTTGAGTTCTATTTGTGTATTTGTGTCTTGCTATTCTGGAACTCTGTCCTACCCGTGCCCTCATTGAGCTTAAGCAAAGAGAAAGAGCCAGGCCTGTGTGTATTTTGTGTATCATGTGTGGCTTCAGCTGGATGTCCCTCCAGCAGCTTTGGAGTCACAGCAGAAGTCTGAAGGTCTGAGAGGGACAGTAGATGTCCTTAGAAAACTGAGGATGTGCGTTTCTAAGCCCAGGAGGCCTTTATTCTGGGTTTGCTCAAATTCTATTTTTACTTCATTGATTTTAGCTGCAGCTGGGACTCTGTTTGCCCATTCACTCAAAAATCCTTCATTTCCCTTCCTCTTCTTTCTGGCTTTCTCCGCTCTGCCCTTGGAGGTGGAAGTGAATCACATCCTGTCCGCTGCCCAGCACTGACCCTCTCAGTGCAGACAGATATGGTAGACCCCACTGGCCACGAGAGACCCATTAGAAAACCAGTGGACAGCCCTGTCTGGAGAGAGGATGTGGGGTTCAGAGAGAGCTCTTTGGGTTTCACTGTCCTCAGGCCTGAAGTTTTCTGTCCTGAACAAATGACTGAGATAAGAACTGAAAGAGTGGTCTGGAGAGATGGAGCAGCACTTGAGAGCACTTACTGCTCTTGCAGGAGACAGAGGTTCCCAGGATCGGTTCCCAGCACCCATATGTCTCAGAGCTGACTGTTACTTCAGCTCCACAGGACACAGCAAACTCTTTTGGTCTCCATGGACACCAGATATGAATTTGGTGCACAAGACATGTAAGGAGAACACTCATATAAAATAAAACAAATAAACCTTTAAAAAAATTTTTTAAAAATCAAATAAGAATGTTTAGCACCGAGGAGGTAATCAGCAAATTATAGACCTCTCCCCTTCCACTGTTTGCATAATCTCTGTATTAAGCTCTGGAAAGAAAACAGGAAAATGTCTTCCAAAACCTAGACATTATCAGGCTGTCCTAACTTGTTATTCATCCTCATCCTTGTCCATGCCTAGAAGCCAATATAAAAACTATCTCCAAAACCCTAGCAGAGAGAGAGAAGAGATCCAACCTTTATTGCAGGCAACCTGGTCCCCATTGTGTCATTGTCTGTCTAGATTACACAATGTTATAAAGGATGAAAAGCAGATCAAGACGAAATTCACACTGAACCAGTAACACAAGTCAGAGCTTTCATCCTCCCCTGGACAATAAAGGAAGTAGAGCAATGCTGCCCCCAAGCGTTTGTACTCTGAATGACAGATGCTTAGCCCAGCTTCAATCTGATCAAAGCTGAGTCAGGAAGCTGAGGGCTGACGGCACCATGTAGCACAAATAAAACATCAAAGGGTTATGTTGATAATAGCGGCAAGCAAGATAATTGCAGGTGCAGTGGGAAAAGTAAATCATCTTTAGAGAGGGGAGAAATAAATAAACAACATTTACTGACACAGGACATGTTTTGAAAATGTGGATTTTGTACTATTCACATGAGAATCTCTGGAAAGCCTCAGTAAAGATTCAGATTCCTGATCCCCTACTCAGAGCTCTCAGGAAGGGTACAGTTTGTGCTGTTAATGGGTTCTCTAGCCACAGGCAATTTAAGTGTGGAACAGAAGTGATCAGAAGAGAGTGAATGAGCAGCCATGAAGTGTCAATGAGAATGCAAAGTGAATGTAAAATGAGAACATAAAATCAACAGACAGGAGAAGGAATGGCCATGTCTAGAAAAAGCAGTATCTTGAATGAAAAGAGGCTTTAACATGATAGGAATAAATCCTTCATAGTAACTTAATGCTGGAAGGGACCACTAAGATTGAATTATATCCAGATGTGGTGATGTGATTACAGCCCTTGGGAGTTGAACTGGAGAGTCATGTGACTTCCCAAGTAAACAGACTCTTTGGCCCAAGTGGGGTCCACTCATCCTTAAAGAAGGTGGAGGGGATGGCTGCTCATGGCATTTGTTTTCATCTGAGGCCAGCAAGGCAGCCTATAGGCCCGTATTTGGTGAATGCAATGGAGGAAGGAAGGAGCTACAGAGATGCTTCTTAGCAATGGACTCCTTTCAGGCTTTCCTGGGAGCAGGCCACTGCACCACGTGATCTTGGCTTGGTGCTGTGGAGTGTGGTTGGTGAGCTGCCACTGTGGAATGGAAGCTTCGAGGAGCCCTGAAGGCTGCCCAGAGGGAGTCGTGGTGTCTACTGTGGACCTGTTGGTTGGTGGGAAATAAAAAAACAGATTAAAATTTCTATTGGCAATATTTGCCTATCCCTGTAATTGTGATAGAAACCCAGTTCAGTTATCTATTTCAAGACACAATGTGGCATCCCAGAACGTGAGTATTTCACCGTAAGACACAACCTTAAATAACCCCAGAGCATAGATAATAGTAGCATATAGTAGAGTCATTATGAAGTGATGTTTTGAGTGTGTATTGACTGTTCCTAATATAACATATCAAATTATAAAATGTACATGAACTTAATTTTTAAACCCAATCATGCTTTTTGCAAATTTTCCATAGCTATGAAAATCGGCTCTCATGAACTGGTAGCCCATCATTCTGAGCCAATAATTATTATGGTAGTTCTGGTATCCCATCATCCTGAGCCAATAATTAATTATTCTGCCATTAATCTGAGGTCAAAGATAGAGGCCATGGGCTACCTTGAGGAAGAAGCCATTGATGGAGCTGAGGAGGGCAGCCCTCTCTTCGTCTGAATTCCGAGGCCGCACCTGGGTGACAACATAGCTTCAGACCTGCTGAGGCCTGGCTTTTGCCCTGATGCTCTTTTCCTTTTGGGGTTAGGCCTGCCCTAGTCTCTGAGTCCCTCCCTGGAAACAAGAGACACAGTATAGCCCACCCAGCGCTGTTCTGTACCCAGAGGAGTGTATTCACTTAATTTTGATTGTTGAGGGACTCAGATAGTGTAGAAGGTTGTGGCCAAGGCATGGGAAGCACTGGCTTCTGGTCTTCATGATGCCATTATTAGGTTGTTTAACTCTGAAATCCAGTTTTCTCATCTGGGGGAGGAAGGGATTGAGAACCTGAAGTCTCTACCAGTGTTCCTGTTCCAAAATTGGCTCAGCAGCTAATCCTCAAGGTTTGACTTCCCTGTTGGGCCAAGGATCACAGAGTAAGAGCCTTCTGGTCCCCAAGAAGAGGCTCTAATTTGTGGGAAACGTCAATGGGAGCCCAAGTCCAGTGGCATGGATAGGCTATCCTGGAAATCCCAGAGAGGGGCACATCTGTGCCAGCTGGCTGGAGCAGGCCTTAGGACCACAGCCTTGGATCGCATAGGAAACACATGGGGAAAGTTCCAACAAACCTTTCCCATGTCTCCTGGGAATTGGAATCGGAAGTCATATTGGATGGCATAAATACCACCAAATGTTACTTTTAAATGGCAAATTTTATCAGAGAGGGATTACATTTCATCTTTTAAGAGCAAGTGAATATTTAACACATCAAGAATAAAGAGAAAGCTCTTAGGGATAGAGAGGGGTGAAAGAATGTTCAAGTCTCTACATTTAGTCCTAGTAGAAAGTTCTTCCTTTGGAATAAGAATTGTAACAATGTGCTTCTCTAGTCTTTGACCCAATCTATCAGATGATTGCAGTGAAAGTCAGCTGTCCAGTGCTAGAAGATCAAGATGTCCACCCTTGTCCAAAGTGAAGGGAAGGAAGGGAGGGGGTGGATCCCAGTGGCTCTTGCTGCAGGCCTCCCAGGACCTCCTTCCCATAGGGCCCAGCTCCTGGTTCTTTAGGCAGTGCTTTGCAGGGGCTCTGGGCCCCCTCCCCCAGCAACCCATGCCACTATGGAAAAAAAAACCCTTTCCCTTTTGTTGAGCTGGGCTGAGATGGAAGTTTCCAAAGGAATTTTTCCTCAGAACCCAAGGGTTTGGAAAGGGAGTGGAATAAACACAGGGTCCTTAGAAAAACCCTCATTCTCGTGGAGTGTACATGTCCATGGTACAGGCCTTTCCGTGGCTTCTCAGGACTGGGTCTTTAGAGTACACTCTCTTAGGTCAGGCCTGCTCACCACTTGGCCAACTGAATAGAACCCAGGCTGCTGAGAGGCAGGGAAAAGCAGCCCACAGTAGCTTTGCATGCTCACTGATATCTCCTTGGGGAAGTTGTAGGTGGCAGCAGCTGGAGTGTGTTAGGTGGAGCTGGTTCACGAGAGACAGCACCTAGGAGTCTCAGAGCTGGCTGGTTCTAACAAGCAGAAATGCAGCGGGGCCTAAACTTTCATCAGGCAGAAATCATAGAACAGTTTAGACATGAACACCACCACCTCAGCCCTGTGAGCCTGCTCAGCCTGCAGGAGGGGATCTGGTTTTTCACACATTTCCTAGTTCCATACAGACAGCCCTCTCCTGGAGGGCACTCGATTTCTGCAGCTTTGAGCTCCCACGAGGCACTGTGTTCACCAAAGCCTCTGCCCAGTGGCCTCAGGACAAACTTCATAGGTCTTCTGGAAAGCACCAGTCCTGTGACAGGGTGACGGGAGACAGGGTGACTGTGTTTCCTTCTGTGAAACCCTCATCAGAGCTTCCTTCTGCCAGCTTCAGAAGGATCACTACGCTCAATGAACAGTTTTCAGATTCTCTCTCTCCCCCTTCTTCCGTTCCTGTCTCCCTTCTCTCCCTCTCCCCCGACCTCATTGTTTTCGACATTGGTGTTCTAGAAAACTGGGACCAAGATACCAAACACCACTCCTCTGTACCCTGAGCTCTGACCTGGTTGAGCCCAGAGGACAAACACAATCTCCCTTATCTCAGAAAATGCCCTGTGGTTTCTTCCTACCTCAACTCTGTCTAAGACCACCTAGTCTTTATGACCAGTTAAACCCCTTCATTCTTGAAATGCAGCAGAGGTTAGAATCTGGATCCTTATTTCCCTCAAGATTGCTTGGGTTTTGTGGGGTTTCCTTTTATCTCACATCCAGTTGGTAGCTCTAATTAGATCCATAATGTAGGAGCAGGGTTTAGGGCTCAGCTCTGTGGATGGTGGCATGCAGCTCCCATTTGGAGGCAGGTAGAGGGTGAGGCCCAGCAGACGCTGCTCCTTTAGAACAGGGCTAGGGGCGGAGGATTGGGGCGGCGATGTCTACCTCCCCCAGCGTCCCCACTCAGATATCCCTGCTCCTCAGTGAAGTCATCCAGTGCCTACTTTGTTCTCACTTCTTTGATTATTAAAATTACTTGACACTGGCCTAAGGTGCTAATGTTCATGGTTTAAAAAATAAAAATAAAAAAGAGGGGAGGTCTGGCCCCATAGAGCCATAGGAATCTCTTTTGGAAAAACCTCTCTAGAGTCTTTCAAACTAGAGGCCTGAGTAGGGTTGGTAGAGCCAACACATCAGAGGGAAAGATGGAAAACCAGCAAATGTGGCCTCTGACATGCCACTGTAGAAACAGAGCCCTATAGGGGAGGCTTATCGCTCCATGGTGGCCTGTGGTTATAAACAGCCGCTATTCATAGACTTCCTTGCTTCGAGAGATTTGGCCCAATAGAACTGAGCAGGACCTGGCTCTGGGATAGACCAAGGCGCCTAGCAGAAAGTGTGATTCCTCTGGGTCAGAGGTCCTTTTCAGGACAGGCTTACAATGGGAACAACCCAGCATCCCTAGCTCCCCTGAGCACTGCCCTCGATCTTACCTCGGTTCCTTAGTTGAGTGCTAGCCTCTTACCAGTTTCCTCTAGCCTATTATGCCATCTTTGAGCTTCTTCCTTAGCATTAGCCAGTGCCCAACACCTTGGTGGCATTCTTTATATCTTTTAAATTATCACATGAGCACTGCATGCCCAGAGACTGGTACACCTGTGGTCTGAGCTCTGAGGAGACAACAGGATGGTAGTCACGCTAAGGCAAAACACTGGAGGAAAATAACCACTGGCTTCATGGCTGTGGACCTGAGAGGAGGCTGGACATCATGGAGGCATGCATGTGCTAGAGCATAGTGGCCTACTGCAGGCAGGATGCAAATGAGAAAGAGGAAAGGTCAGGGGACTAGATCATCTTTCCAGGGCATGCACCCCGTGAGCACTTCCTCCAAAGAGGCCCACCTCCTACTTTTCACACTTCCAAATGATGCCATGTTAGAAATCCATCAAAGGGTTTACCCACTGATTAGACCAGAGGCCTGAGAATCCAGTCAGTTCCTCACAGCTTGTCAGTCATGAGCCAAGCTCTCAGCATGCAAACCTGTTGGGGGCTGGGGAGAGGGCCTATTCAAATCAGAGCAGGCAGAAAGAAGGGACATTGTTAGATGGGAGACAAGGAGTCAAAGGAGGGGGCGCTACTTCAGGTAAAGGGGACTGAGTTAGTCTCTAACCTGGAGGGCACCCACAAAGGTGAGGCAGCTTTCTAGTCCACAGCCTCTGCCATGGCCCTCTTCAGGGAATTTTGTCCTAGAGTGAGCACCTAGCTGAAACATTCCCTCATCTTCACTGTGGAGAAGCAGAAGGGCACAGAAGGGTGGTAGTGCAATGGGCCCTCTGTGAAGAAGCCAAGCTCAAGCTTGGGGCGAAGCTACTACCCTAGTGATGGCCTCAGATGGAGATGTGCCTTCCATCTCATGGCATTTGCTTCCTGTTGAGCAATGTGCTGGGCAGTCCACAGGAAGAGTCAGTCCTCATAATAATGCTCTCTTGTACAGACACTTTTGCTTCCTTCTTTTATGCATGCTGCTACTGGCATGCAGAGAGGTTAAGTCACTTCCCCCAAGGTTCTACCAGCACAAGGTTGTGCAAGACTCTACCAGGAGTGTGATCCATGCTGCACCTCACCACTGAGTGAGGTCCATGCTGCACCTCACCACTGTTGCTGTCAGAAAACACTATCCCAAAGTGAAGAATCAGAAAGAACTTTTCCTCTGGTGTCTCCTGCCCGCTTGTCCCCAACCTCTCATTCCCCCAAGGAGAATAACAGAAATTGGAATTCTTTCTATAAAATCCCTGAAGGCTTCTGTGTGGCTCTGTCCTGAAAATCTCCAACAGCCAGGTTCTGCTCAGGTCCCTAGTCCCTCGAGATGATACAAGTGGCAAAGCTCTACCCTATAGAGTAAAAAGCTCAAGATTAGGCCAAAAATCCCACCAATCCCAGGACACCCTGGAAAGTGACATCCCCAAGAAACCCTCAATAAACCCTGCCTCCAGTTCAGTCTTTGCTGCTTTGCAGCCAACCTCCTGTGTTTTTCCTGATAAATCTCTTATGTGAGCTTTGTTATGTGTTATGACTTTGTGGCATTCCTTGGCTCCCAACTGCCAGGATGCCTTTCCTCTCAGAGCTGTAACACTTGCACATTCTCCTCCAAGTCAGTCATGTCTTTCAACAGTCATAGAGAAACTCTCTGGAAAGTCTTGTATGATAAAGGTCATATGACCTCCCCTTCAAATTCTCAGAAGGAATGAATGCTCAACTGGAGGACAAGAGAAATCTGAACAGGCAGGTCTCACTATGTTTCTCCCTCCACAGCCTGTCACTGTTATATGGTATTACTTTTAAGCAACATTATTTTCATGCTTTGTTTAACCTAAGTGTAAGCTTAGGTTTAGGTATAGACTATACCCCCTCTCCAAGGTTCATGTGTTAGTCTCCAGGTTGATACTGTTGGGATATAGGACAAACTTTAGATGAGGATAGGGAATGGGGAGTGGGAGGGAGTCTGGTATCAGGAAGCCAGAAAAGGGTGTCAGGTCCCCTGGAGCTGTAAGTTACAGGTGGTTGTACGACACTGGCTGTGGGTGCTGGGAACCAAACTTGGTCTCTGCAAGAACAGGAAGTGCTCTTAACAGCCAAGCCATTTCTCCAGACTGAATTGTGGCTTTTACAGAGAATCTAAATAGCAAGGACTGTCCTGCACACTTGTGTTAAATTTTCTTCACGCCATCTGTTATCTGTGGCCCTTCTGGGGAGCAAGGAAATTTTCTTTCTGCTAACTTGGTTTTTTTCATATGCTGATCTCACAGCCTGTCTTTACTTTCTACTTTCTTCTCCCTTAATTCTCTACTAGAAGTTTGTTTGCCCTTAGCTGTGAAGGATTTGAGGTTTTTAAAAAATGGCTCAGTGGTTAAGAGTATATACTGCTTTGTAGAGGACCCAAGTTTAGTTCCCATCACCCCATCGGGAGGCTCACACCTTCCTGTGACTCCAGCTCCAGGAAATCCAATGCCCTCTTACAGATATTGTTGGAACCTTCACTCACAGATACACAGACTCATATGCACATATATCTACATACTTAAAAATAAAATGCATCTTTTTAATGGTACTATGAGCCATTAGGTAGAGTGATGCGATTAAATGGAAGGACCACAGAGAAGGTCCTTCCCAGAGATCCTTCAGCAGGACAGTGTAGACACCTAAACTGACAGACATGCCATCATCAGTAGAAGAGGGAATCTGGGGGAGGATGCAGGTGAAAGAGCTTCATAGAGGGCAGAGGGGTCATCCAGTTGATACAGGAGAGACAGTGAGAGAGACAAGGGGACCAGCAGAACTTGCAGGCTTTTCAGCTAGGCAAATGGTGGTATCATGAGTCAATGGTGGGACAGGAGGGAGAAAATACTAGTGGGATTTGCCCTTGACCCCAGGTTCAATTTCTGCCTTGCAGGACATTTTCCAAACGTGTCCCCTCCTCTGTGCCACTTCTGTCAGAATCAGAGGTATCAGGTACACTTGTTAAAGGCGTCAATTTCCATTGGCCTACTCAGAATCTCAAGGAATAAAAGGTAAAGAGGAGGAATTAGGAAAATCTTCTTTTCTGCCACTCACTTCCCTTAACTTTGATGTTGGGAATATAGGAAAAAGGACAGAGTTAGAGAAAAGATAATGCTTGGTTTTAGAGATGTTTGCAGATAGGTAATAGACAATTTGATGTAAAAAGCTAGAGCTTGAAAAGCTGTTGTGGCTGGGGCAAATGGAACTGTGAGAATATGCAGAGAGGGATAATTTGAAACTGCACGCAGTTTTTCTCTTTTGTCTTCTTCAGTACATGACCTTTACACATAGGCAGCCCTAAGAGCCAAATGTCTAAGAAGAGATCAGAACTTGTTACAGAAGAAATGCTTAGAGAAAGGCCAAATAGATATTCACTTTTGACATTTAAACATGAGCAGGGCAACACTCTTCAGGCTGAGGTATGATTCAGAGAGATAATTCGCTAAATTCCTATGCCTTTCTGTTCCTCTACTGCTCAGGAAAAGCAAGGCTCTCTTCTGTCTTTATGGCTGAAGTGGAAATTAGAAGGGGGCAATTGTGACACGAAGGTGTCAGTGTGAAAACACAACTCAGAGGGCATGGGAGATAGTTTATTCTGGGGTCAAGTATGAGTGACACCACAACCTGGAGCACAGATTTAGGTTACCTCGAATTCAGTGTCCCAATGCGGTAATGCTTTGATGAAGTCTTTATGGTAGCAGAACAAAGAAAGTCAGAACTTAAGGTACTTTTCAAATACACTGGTGGAAATGTTAGGTAGGTGGGCTAAAGCAAAGGAAGAGGAAGTCTTTGCTTTGGGTCTCAGATGCTGTCTGATTATGCTTCCTTTTGGCTAGTGGAAGCATTCCAGAAGTTGTACCCATTGGTTATTTGTTAGTCACAAGGATGTCAGGGTAGATACAAGTTAAGTGTTGCCCCACTCATCTTTAAATGTCAAAAGTGACTATCAGGTTGGCCTTTCTCTAAGCAATTCTTCTGTAACAAGTTCCAGTCTCTTCCCAGGCTGCCTGTGTAAAGGTCAAATCCTGAAGAAGACGAGGAATGGCTATTAGAGCAGCTAAAGGCATCCCCAAGACACAGTGTAATGAGCTCTGGATCTGCAGTATTCCATCCTCTCTGCAATCAGTGAATTGACCTCTTTGCAATCATTGACCTTGTAGAGGGTTCTGTGGAAGGCGGGAGTCTTTTCACGGGGAGGCAGAGTAAGGCCTTTGAGACAGAAAGGGAAATTGGAGGATGAGGCAGGAGGCAAAGAATTCTTCTGTTAATGACACTCAAGATGGGCTCCATCAGTCAAGAACCTCACTTGGCCCACACAGCCTGGCTGAGCCCAGTTTAGACAATTATAGGTTCAAGGACAGGGGTTGTAAAAGGACACAGTGGAGAGGCTAAGCAAGCCCTTCAGGTGTGGAGAGTGAGGAAGCCTTCCAGAGAATTCATCTATCGTACTCAAGACCAAGAGCCTCTTCCAGCCAAGCCAAGCTTTGCCAGGTGAAAAGGCAGAACAGTTGCATCTAAGAAAGACTCAGATATCCAAGAAACTTTTGAAGTTATCCAACCTAACTAAACACCACAAGCTATAGACCTTATTTAAATTAATTTTTAAACTTAATGAATATGGATGTTTTGTCTGCGTGCATGTCTTTGGACCACATATGTACCTGGTGCCCATGCAGCTCAAAAGAAGGTATTGGGTCCCTTGGGTCCAGAGCTACAGATGGTTGTGAGTCACCATGTGGGTGCTGGGAATTGAACCCAAGTCCTCTGGAAGAGCAGCTAATGCTCTCAACTACTGAGGCATCTCTCCAGCCCCCCTTATGTAAAACTTTTCTTCTAATACTATATATCTGAGGTGCAGCCCTTTGAGTTTTTACGGAAGATCCACAGTGTTAAGAGCAGAAGGTGTGGAGGAATTTTGGCTTAGTTAGGAAATGTGGGGGGTGGGAGTCAAAAGCAAGGAGCAGGAGCTTCAGAAGCAAGTGACTGGGAAAGGGGGAATACTGGTAGGTGATCATGCTGCAGGGAGAGAGGCTGGAAAGCCAAAGGACAGAATTAGGAATTCAACAAAAAATACAATTTCATGTTGCAAGAGGAAGGGTCGATAAAGATGGGAAAAGAGTCACTTGGTTGACGAGGGGGCTTGGGCTTCTCTTGGCCTCTCTTTCATAAATGGTAGGATGTTACCAGTGCAGTACATTGAGGCCAATACCAGCTGCCAAACTCAAGAGCGAACAGGCCTCTGATGAAGCTTCCATCGGCCAGCCCTGGCTAAGTCCAGCCTCACAGGCCTGGACAAGCCTGACACACTTCTTATTCCTGACCTGCAGTAAGTGGCTGTTTCACGCCACTAGGTTTTGAGAGACTTTCTTAAAAGCCATAGTAGCTGGAGCACACACGGGGCTTTGTTTTCATAACTTTTGCATTGATTAACATAAACATTTTCTCATGTTGCTGGATAGTCATCATAATCTCTCAATTGGGAAACAAAATATTTTGAGTTGATGTAGTGTGTTTATTTAAATATTGTGCTATTCTTGGCTATTTAGAAGGCTTCTCGTCTCCCACTATTTAACTGCTGATATGAAAAAAAAGTTGTGTATAGAGATGTTTCTTTTTTACTGGGTTCCTTCACTGGGACAAATTCCCAGAAGTAGAATTACATTTGGGTATGAACATTTGCATAGCATCCCAAATGGAGTACCAAATTACTTATCAAATGCACCAATAATCTGCCATCAATTATGCTTGGCACTATCAGTACATAAAAATCATTCAAATTTGTTCTGAAGTAGCGTGTATGCAAGTGTGCACACACTCACACGATGCAAGTTCATTACTGACACACTTTTACAGTGCTGTCACTAAGCAATGACCATGCACAGATTGTCCCCTACACAGATGTAACAGATGTAGCTCAGGCTACATGTGGATTCCATAGTAAGGGGAGCAGGGGCTATCCCTGACACGGACTCCATTGCCTGCTTTCTGATCACTCCCTCCTGGTAGGGCTGCCTCGCCAGGCCACAGGGGAAGAGGACACACTCAGTCCTGATACAACTTAATGAGCTGGGGTGGGGGTTGGGGTGGGAGCTCCCCTTATCTGAGAAATATGGGAAGTGGGATAGGGAAAGAGGAAGGGAAAGTAGGACCTGGAGGAAAAGAGGGAGGGGGCTATGATCCTGATGTAAAGTGACTAAATAAATTAACTAATTAAAATTAAAAATATTGTCACTAGTATTAGACACCCCCATCAAGACTGCTAATTTAATCAATAGAAATTGTATTTTAGCATTGTTTATATGGGAGATTTATTTTATATTTTACAAGTTGTTGAATCCTATCTGAAGTGTCTACATGTAGCCTATTCTAATGTATTTTTCAGAGCCTTTAAACATCAATTTTTTTTTTCTTTTTAGCCAGACATGATGGCACATGCCTTTAATACCAATATTTGGGAGGCAGAGGCAGGCAGATCTCTGTGAGTTCAAGGCCAGACTGGTTTACATTGTGAGACCCAGTCTAAACAACAGCAACAAAATCATTTTGTTAAAGTTGCAGGTCATGGTCAATTAATAGACTGTGAGAGTGCGCTGATTATACTGCAGTGAGCATGTCTCCCTTCCCATTAGTAGACTACGAAATAGATTCTTTCTGATCACTCCCCTGGCAGGGCTGCCTTACCAGGCTACAGGGTAAGGGGGTGCATTCAGTCCTGATGCAACTTAATGAGCTGGGATGGGGGTGGGGGCTCCCCTTCCCTGAGAAATAGGGGAAGAGGGAAGTGACCCCTGATGGATTACAAAGAACAATTGGATAGGATAACATGGAAATAGCGGAGCCTTATACACTCAGTAAGTGTGTGAGTGTGTGTGTGTGTGTGTGTGTGTGTGTGTGTGTGTGTAAAACTTATTTTTCCAAGATAAATATGTATTAGGCCATGGTATAGAGCTGGAGAGATGGTCCTTCAGTTAAGAGCATCTGCTGCTCTTCTAGAGGACCTGAGTTCAGTTCCCAGCACCCACACTAGGCAGCTCACAACTGCCTGTAACTCTAGCCTAGGAGATAAGAAGGCCCTAGCCTCCATGGGCACTCATACTCATATATGTAGACCAGCATGCAGAATCGCACAGGCATATAATTAAAAAGAGTAAAAATAAATCTTTTTAAAAGAAAAAATATTCTTAGTACAACAAAAATATTTTTAACACACCAGCCTTGGAGCCAGGCACAGTGGCACATACCTGTAAACCTAGTACTCAGGGTGGCAGATGCAGGTGGATCTCTGTGGGTTCAAGGCCAGGCTGCTCTACAAAGGGAGTCCAGGACAGCCAAGGCTGCACAGAGAAACCCTGTCTTGAAAAACAAAAAAATAACCCCCCAAAACACACACACACACACCACCACCACCACCACCACCACCAGCAGCAGCCTTGACTGCAAGATGGCTCCATGGGTAAAGGCACTTGCCACTGAATTTGACAATCTGAGTTCAAGCCCTGGGACCCTCATGGTGGAAGAAGAGAACCAATTCTTGCAAGTTGTGTACACACACTAAATGGTTTAAAAGATTTAAACTCTCAGCTCTCAGCCCTGTAACTCATATTTAATACCCTCTTTTCTAATTTTTTTTTTTTTTTTTTGCTTTTTGTTTTTCGAGACAGGGTTTCTCTGTGTAACCTTCGCTCTCCTGGATTCACTTTATAGTACAGGCTGGCCTCAAAATCAGAGAGATCTACCTGCCTTTGCCTCCCTGAGTGCTGGGAGTGGGCCACCATGCCCAGATCTCTTTTCCAGTTGTAAAAAAGTGTAATTTCTTCTTTATTTCTAAGATGGCTTTGGTGGAGATCACGGTGCACCATCAGCAGGTCTGACTCGTGGTGGGGGTGTTCAGTTCTTCCGGGTTTCATGAGATCGATTCCTGACTGCCTTGCTGCAAATGACACAGCTCACATAGTAACGCAGCTTGACCTAGAGTTTGGGACACACACAAGCATCAAAGACAATTGTTTCAGATTATGGCCCTGATGGAAACAGCCTCTAAAATGTTCCAAAGGATGAACTCTCAATGGCCTTGTCGTTGGGCACACTCTGGGCATAGTTCATGCAGTGAATTGGTAGCACATGGCTGAAGCCCTTTTTGGCACAATCCCTTAATTACTTCTTCTCCTTTTTTTTTTTTTTTTTTTTTTTTTTTCTCCTTGGAGCCAAGACCCAAAAGATCCACTTTTCCAATTTGATGTAAATATATTCCAGCCTGGGACTTGCCTTTTTATATAGAATTATCTCTCTTTTGCGTTGCTTCAATTTTTGCTATTCTAGCATTCCAGCCATCCCTTCTAATGTCTTAGATCCATTGAAAATAGAAATTCATCTTTTTCCCTCCAAGGTGATAAATGATCTGTCCTGTGTTTTGTCAAATCACTTCTTACCAACGCATTCTCTCAACACCCCTCGAACTAGAAACTCATATCAGCTCAGCAAAATGCAAACGAAGAGCATGGCACAAATGCTGCTGCGGAGCCAGGCCACGGACAGGCCACGAGGACTGCGAGAGCACGCGTCCACTCCTCACTCCCAGTCGCTGGCTTCTGTGGCATCAGCAAAATGGTTTGCAGTGTGAACGCTGAGTAAGCATATGTTGGAATAACCCAGCGCTGACTAGAGTGAAAGCTTGAAGGAAGCAATGTTGTAAATTTCAGGGTCCATAGAAACACTCGGAATAAGACATGAGAGCTGTCTGGGACAACATTATCATAGCAGAGACTGTTGAAATGATAATGGCCACCTAATCATTTTCTGTTTATTAAAGAAACGTTCATTACTCCTTGCTATCATCTGTAGGGTCTCCCATTACTCCCATTCCATAGATGAAAAAGTTGCAGGGCAAAAGGCTTTGCAACTTGTCCAAGGTTAACAAACTAATAGGTGTCTGGAACTGGAACCTAAGCCTATGCTGTTTATTATGGACCCCTGTGCCTCTCCTACGGAAACCACGGGCAGATGAAGAGAGATTCCTGGGGGCAGGGTAGCTTACAGTCTGGGGTCTTAAAGGGATATCTGATTGCTCTCTGGAAACCTCCTCAGGGGCCTGCCTCTTCCACTAAGTAGAGTTTCTTTCAATGAACTAGACCTAGTCACCTGAACAACACAGTCCCTTCTGAGGTAAAGGCTGGGTCTTGTGTGTTACATCAGTGACTTCTCTGGATTCCACCAGACCACGACAATCCTTAGGCTGAAACAGTCTCAATGGCTTAGAGATGGCAGCTCAGGGGGCCCAGCCACCACATGTGTAGATCTGGACCCAGTCTAGCCTCCTTCTTCTCACTTGTAAAGAGGGGACAATCCTGTTCTTGGTCTCCTGGGGTCATGATGAGACACAATGTAGCCCTGAGCGAGTGCTATTCTAGCATTTATCAGTTATTTCTTCTGAACTTTCTATTGGCTAGGTTTGTTATTCTGTTTGGATTCTGGGAGATGATCTATCACAATAGCTGCATATCCACATAGGGTGAGGTTTTATTTTGATCCTCCTAGGTCACCTTTGACCTCCTGGGATTTTATATGTGCTTCTTCAATTTTAGGATACATGCTAGGTGAGTGAGACAGGCACAAGTCCCTGTTTACCCCTGCTATCCCAGCATAACTATTGTTGGCGCCCTCCTTTCATAGTTAAAAATACCTTCGCTGCAAAGATAAACCATATGGTCAGTCTATTTGGAGAGCAACCCCTCCTACCTGTGGTTACTGCTGTATCATGGGAGCTTTGTCAGACACTCGAATCTTCAGAGGACCGTGATTCTGTTACTGTCTTTATGTGAGGGCTTTCTTTTAATAGTCCCCAGAATTCTATGGAGAGCTTATAAGAATAATATTTCACATGTGTAAAATTAAAAGGACACAGTTACAAAGGAATTATATCCTTTTGAAGGTCTGATATCAAAATATTGAGATACTTCATAGTGTAGTAATAAATATGTTTTTATTAATGATCAAATAATAGGTTTAGTGACAAGCTTAATAACTATTATAATTTCAAAATAGCGATGAGCATCAGTGGCACTTTAAGGAATTTCTAACAGCAGCACACACGAAAACAACCAGGAGTCTGTGTCTCTATCTCTCTCTCTGCTTCCCTCCCCTTCCCTCGTGTGGTTGCTTTCATTATCAAGGAAATTGTGGCCAAAAAGTGTTACAAAAGAGAATCATTTTATAAAAATTCGCTGTCACCCTTGTGTTAGTTATTTCTGTTGCTGTGATAAAGCACCGTGACCAAGAGCAGCACATAGAACTGAAAGGATCAGACTAACTTTGTAACCTATATGTCTTCTAAAACCTATATTTTTGAGTTTTAGGCCCAGGTTAAGCTAAAGCCTCTTAGTACTCCTCCAGAGAACAGAGGAATGTGACCCTGGCTGTCTGTGAAGACAGAGATAAAAAAAGCAAGCAAGCAATGACCTTCACCCAGCAAAAAGAATGACCAGACTTTTGTCTGTGAGATAGCGTTTCTTAGCAACCAACCCAGATGGTCTCAAGCCTTCTTCTCAGTAGCCCCTGACCTCAAAAGCCCGCAGCCCCAATCTTCAAGGATGAGCTAATCATCCCTCACCTCCACCTTTAATTGCAGCCACATTCACACTTAGCAGGACTGAAACTTGAGCACCTAATAGTAACCAATTATTTTAGAAGTCAGTTACCTTATAGCTTCTTCATCCAATCCCGAGTTGCCAAGACTAAAACCCATGAGCTTCCCCACATTTTTTCCTATAAAAACCCAAGGCTTTTGTTTCTTGGGGCTGCTCTTTGCTGATTTATAGGGTGGCCCCATCTCGCGATGGCTGGAAAATAAACCTCTTGCTGTTGCAACGATCCATTTCTGGGTTTCTTTAACTGCCTGATGATTTGAGCCTAACAGAAGGAGTTTTTTACAGTTCTAGAAGGATGTTAATCCATCACAGCGGGAAGGCACGGAAGTAGGCGCCATCACAGCACCAGGAGCAGGAGGCTAAGAGCTCACATTGAACCACAAGTACTATGCAGGAACAGTAAACTGAAGCAGGGCATGCCTATGAGCTCCCAACGCCCACCCCAGTGATGTACTCCCTCCAGCAAGGCTATAGCCCCTAAACCTCCTCAAACAGCGCCACCCACTGGGGACCAAGTGTTCAAACTCCTGAGCCTATGAAAGTCAATTCTCAGTTAAACCACCACACTCCTCTAAACATGCAGTTTAAGATAGCGAACATGACAATATAGGGGAAATCCTTGAGTAGGCAAGAATGAATGACGCCATTGAAGAACGAGGGTTTGGTAAGTCAAACGTGAGTACAGATGAACATTTTTGTAAGACTCAGTTTTCCTTTTGAAAATGGGTGAACTCATATCACAGCTGATATTTTAGTAACTTGAGGAAACCAGTGAGTCTGATCCAAACCCAGAAGAGATCCCCTAGCCCAGTAGTGGGGATTTGGGTCCAAGGAACATTGGATAAGGGTCTTAGAGAACCCAGAGGCTTATGGGCTGGGATGGAGAAGGAGTAGCAGCTCTAGTCAGGGCAGGAACCCAGAAAGAAGGGGGGACCCAGGAGTAGGGTAGAGTCCAGTGAAGAAGAGGAGTCCATCAAAATCCCAGTAGTACATGAGGTTGTCGAGAGAAAAAGGAAACAGCAGCCACACTGTGAGCAGGTCTGAAGAAGTAGAAGGTAAACAGAAGAGTTAGTGACAAAACAGGCACCAAGAGAGGAGATGCCCATAAGATTTGAGGTTTTTATTTTACAGGACAACTCAGGAAAGCCCCAGAGAATAAAGGCAATATGAGAGGGTTCTTACTAGCTGCGGTTTCCATTAGTGAAAAGTTTACATGATCAATTCTCTTCACTTTTTACAGTCACCAACCAATCTCATTCCCCTCCATCCAGTGCTGGCAAATCTGTTTAATTCTGCGCAGTTTCAAGCCCACTGCATGAGTGTGAGGCAAGCAGAGAGAGAAAGGAACACTGCATAGGGATCAAAAGAAAAGGACTAGAAGCTGATGGATTTGGTTTCTGGACATAGAAGTAAAGGGGGAGATGATATTATGGCGTCATGAGCATGTGGACTAACGGGAACAGCAAGGTGTGCAACACACACCCTGTAAGGATTGTGCATTTGCACAATGGCTCAGGACATGGAGCTTGAAGTCTGACGCTGGGTCTCAACCTCATTCCTTCCTCTAACCTCATGCATTTTGCATATGTTAATAGTTTTTCTTGTTTAGTGGGAACAATGCTACCTCCCTCACAAACTCCCAGTGAGGGCTGGAGATGATGTATGCGCAAGGCCTAGTGTTGTGACCTTCCTTCAGTTAGTGGCTATTGCAGGAAGGAACTCTTTGTTCCTTCCTGACACATGAAAATTTTTCAGTCCCACAGTCGCTAAAACAGAAATGCTTTAGCTATTCTTGGTTTTTAGTTTTCCACGTGAAATTGAAAATTGTTCTTTCAAAGTCTATAAAGAATTATGTTGGTATTTTGATGGAAATTGCATTGAATCTGTAGATCACATTTGTAAGGATGGCCACTTTTACTTTGTTAATTCTACCAAGCCATGACATGGGAGATCTTTCCATCTTCTGCTATCTTCTTCAATTTCTTTCTTCAGAGACTGGAAGTTTTTTCCATACAAGTCTTTCACTTGTTTAGCTAGAGTTACACCAAAGGACTTTATGTTATTTGTGGCTACTGTAAAGGGTGTGGTTTCCCTAATTTCTTTCTCAGCCCACTTGTCTTTTGTATACAGGAGGGCTACTGATTTTGGGGGGTGGCTAATTTTGTATCTAGCCACTTTACTGAAGGTGTTTATCAGTTGTAGAAGTTCTTTGGTAGAATTTTTAGGGTCACTCTTGTATACTATCATATCACCTGCGAATAGTGATACTTTAGCTTCTTCCTTTCCAGTTTACAGATGTTGGATCTTGGAGGTATCTCTATCCCTGATTTCAAGCTGTACTATAGAGCAACAGTAATAAAAATGGCATGGTACTGGCACAGAAACAGACTAGTGGATCAATGGAATCAAATCAAAGATCCAGAAATAAACCCACATACCTACAGACACCTGATTTTTGTCAAAGAAGCCAAAAACACACAATGGAAAAAAGACAGCATCTTCAATAAATGATGCTGGTCTAACTGGATATCTATATGTAGAAAAATGCAAATAGATCCATACTTATCTCCATGCACAAAAGTATCAAGTGGATCAAAGCTCTCAATATAAAACCAGACACACTAAACCTGTTAGAAGAAAAAGTGGGAGAAGAGCCTTGAACTCATTGGCACAGGAGATAACTTCCTGAATATAACACCAACCGCACAGGCTCTAAGAGCAACAATCAATAAATAGGACCTCATGAAACTAAAAAGCTTCTGTAAAGCAAAGGACATGGTCAAGAGAACAAAACGACAGCCTACAGACTGGGAAAAGATCTTCACCAACACTACATCTGACAGAGGGCTGATATCCAGAATATATAAAGAACTTAAGGAAATTAAACACCAACAAACCAAATAACCCAATTAAAAAATGAGGTACAGAGCTAAACAGAGAATTCTCAATGGAAGAATATTGAATGGCCGAAAAACACTTAAAGAAATGTTCAACATCCTTAGCTATCAGGGAAATGCAAATCAGAACAACCCTGAGATTTCACCTTACATCCATCAGAATGGCTAAGATAAAAAACTCAAGTGACAACACATGCTGGTGAGGATGTGGAGAAAGGGGAACCCTTCTCCATTGCTGATGGGAGTGTGAACTTGTACAACCACTTTGGAAATCAACCTGGAGCTTTTTCAAAAAACTGGGAATAGCACTACCTCAAGACCCAGCTATCCCACTCCTGGGTATATATTTGAAAGATGCTCAGCCATACAACAAGGACATTTGCTTAACTGTGTTCATAGCATCTTTATTCATAATAGCCAGAATCTGGAAACAACCTAGATGTCCCTCAACAGAAGAATGGATACAGAAATTGTGGTACATTTACACAATGGAATACTACTCAGCTATTAAAAACAAGGAAATCATGAAATTTGCAGGCAAATGGTGGGAACTAGAAAAGATCACCCTAAGTGAGCTATCCCAGCAGAAGAAAGGCATGCATGACATATAATCACTTATAAGTGTATATTAGCCATATAATATAGGATAGACATACTAAAATCTACAGACCCAAAGAAGCTAAACAACAAGGAGGAACCTAGGGAAGATGCTTAATTCTCATTCAGAAGGGAAAACAGGATACACACCAGAAGCGGTAGAAGAGAGGAAACAGGGTGGGAGCCTACTATAGAGGTCCTCTGAAAGACTCCACCCAACAGGGGTCAAAGCAGATGCAGAGACTCACAGTCAAACTTTGAAGAGAGCGCAGGAATGAAGAAGAGGGATGTAGAAGGACCTGGAGGGGACAGGAGCTCCACAAGGAGACCAATAAATCCAAAAATCTTGGTCAGGGGAGAACTGCAAAGACTGATACATCAACCAAAGACCTTGCATAGAGAGGACCTAGACCCCCTGCTCAGATGTAGCCCATAAACAGATCAGTCTCCATATGGGTTTCTGAGTAAGGAGACCAGGGGCTGTCTCTGTCAAAAACTCAGTTAGGCAACTTGATTACTAGGTCTCCCTGGTGAGGTGACCTAGCCAGTCCACAAAGGAAGAGGATCCAGGCAGTCCTGATGGGACCTGATAGGCTTGGGTCAGACAGTAGGGGAGGAGGACTCCCCCTATCAGTAGACTAAAGCTGAGGGAGAGAAGAAGAAGAGGGAGGGAGAGTGGGACAGGGAGGAGATGAGAGAGGGGGCTACAACTAGGATTCAAAGTAAATAAATTGTAAAACAAAACAAAAACAAAATACAGAAATGTTGTTCCATATTAGCCAGCAGAGGGAAGCACACACCATACTATAAGCTTAGGAAACTACAAAGCGGCTTACAAAGATGGAAACTCCCTTTGCCTCACACAGCCCAAGCAGGAGCAACAAGGCTCTCTTCTGTCCTTGCTTGGCTTCAGCTTGTAGCCTTCAAAAGGGCACTGGGCCCTAGGGCTTGAGTTAAGCCCAATTAGAGCGCTGAGGCATTGTCAGGTGAGTTCTAATGAAACAGGCAGGCCAGGGAGCAGACGGGAACCAGAGGCTACGTACTCCACCCTGTCCAAGAGGAATTTAATGATATAAGTGCAGAGAGTAGATGCTGAGTCAAGAAAAGCTTCAGTGGCATGGAGTGGAGGCCAGGTACTTCTTCTCTAAGCCCTTCATGTTGTCCATTTCTTCACCTGCCTTCCTTTAGTAAGAATATCACCTCCCTGCCATATAGTCCTGGAATCCATGAGGGGTCATACAATAGGAATCCTTTCCTGTCCTCTGTCACCATCAAGCAGGTGTTGTCTTATGTTTCCCAGCAGGCAATAATCTGCAAAGGTTTTGAACTAGCTCTCGATGGGCATGTGGAGAAACAAGTCTACTGTAAAGTAGAAATGCCAGAAGGTATATGCACTGAGGTCTTAGTCTATCTCTTCTACCTTTCTCCAGAGAAATCCAGGAAGCAGGGTGGAATTAAAAAGGATGTAAGAACACTGTGCATAAAATAGGTAAGCTAATCCCCTTTCCTAGAACTTCTTATAAAGGAAATACTGCTGTCTGACAGGTAACTCCTGAGGGATGAGTCCTAGATTTGTGTCTAGAGACCTAGTACTCCTACTATGCGCCTTAGTGTGCAGAAGAAAGCTGGCCACATAACTAGGCCTCCCATACTAAACACCTACTGAGTATTTCCCAGGTGCAGGAAGT